CCGGCATTCTCTCCGGTAAGGATCTCCTCCCCCTCCCCCTCCCTCCTTCCCCCCTAGGGTTTCGTTGTCGATGTTGGTCTCACCACTGCTGCGGCGAATAATTGGTGGATTTCGGCTTGATAATTTTAGGGTTTCATTAGTTTTAGGGTTATTCTGTAAGATCCGCCCACAGTTTCGAGGGTTGTCCGTTAAGGGCTCAACGTTTGTGCCACTGACCCGATCAATTGATGACCAAAGCAAAGTGTCTAGTTATCTTAAATTTCACCACCACAAACAAAAACATACCAGCAGTTTGGAGTTTGGACAGGCTTGCTGTATATTAGTAACTACCAACAGAATTTTGCTCACAAGCTTTAGATTAATCCATGTTTGTCTGTGCATTAGTATTTTATTAGCAGTATCCACATCCTATCTGTAGTTTTTGCCTTTTTGGGAGACTTATCCGGGCACTACATATTTATTGTGATTGAGCTAACCATCTTCTTCAACTTCTTTTATAGGTCTAGCCTGTCGAGGGGAAGGCTTGGGACGAGATAATGGTGAGTTCATTGCTCCTCCTGTTAAGCAGCTAGGCAATCTTATAAATTTGCAATTTATTTTGGCATTGGTCTCATGCCTTTTCCTAAATGGTGCCACTTCACAGGCAAGCCTTGCTGATTCGTTCTTGGCTGATCTTGACGAACTTTCAGACAATGAAGCCTACCCTGTGAGTTGATTTCTGTGTCTACTGCGTAACCATGTTTTATAAGGATATATTTGTAGGCAATTCCTTAATCTATTGTCAAACTTTTCAGGAAGAAGACAATGCTGAGGCAGTGGGTATGGATGAGGATGGTGACGATGATATGCCTGACCTTGAGTCTCTTAATTATGATGATCTTGACAGCGTCTCAAAACTGCAGAAGACACAACGTTATTCTGACATAATGCAAGTATGTGATCAAACTCGTGAATCTCCACTAACCTTATACCTTTCTCTCTTGCACAGATCTATGTTTATCTGGCAAAAAGTAAAACCTTATTTGTGTGGTTAGGGTAATAACTCAGTTATAAGATGCTGCACAATGTTTTCCACCAGAACAGTGTTTACTAGTTTGAAAAGAAAACTTAAATAACACATATTATATGGATTTTGGGGACACACTCAGTTGATTGTTCTTTCATGTCTGATTCCTGAATATTACTTTATATGTTCTTAGGGAGCAAATGGAGATATTTAGTTTGTTTAGTGTACAATAATAAACAAAAAGACCAACCAGAGACTAGTCCGTCGGGACCTTTCTTAGTGTAGTAAGACGACCTGATTCACCTGCAGAGGTAGGCCTCAAATGCAGGTCAGCTGTGACACAGCGTGCACACTCGTGCTGCTAGCAAACCGAGCAATCCTCAGTTCATGCTCAATGTCACAAATGGTCCATGTGGAAAATTTGGTCCATTCATTTTGAGTCCATATAGGGCATGCGGCGCTGTTCATCTGTATTTTAGCCTTAATCTGCAACCCCCATGCATGACAATAGATTAATAGACAGTTCCATTTTTGTGTGTGCAGAAAGTTGAAGGAGCACTTGAGAAAGACACATATTTGTCTAATCAAGGGTTCATCCTGGAGGAGGATCCAGAGTACCAGCTTATTGTAGATTGCAATGCCTTATCAGTAGATATTGAGAATGAGCTCATTATAATACATAATTTCATCCGTGACAAGTATAGGCTGAAGTTTCCTGAACTGGAATCCCTTGTTCATCATCCGATTGATTATGCCCGTGTTGTTAAGAAGATTGCAAATGAGGTGGATATAACACTAGTAGATCTGGAAGGGCTCTTGCCTTCTGCAGTTATAATGGTTGTCTCTGTGACAGCATCGACAACTAGTGGGAAGCCTCTTTCTCAAGAGAATTTGGTAAAAACAATTGAAGCATGTGACAGAGCCCTTAATCTTGATGCTGCAAAGAAGAAGGTGCTTGATTTTGTAGAGGGTAAAATGGGTTACATCGCACCAAACCTATCTGCAATTGTTGGCAGTGCTGTTGCTGCAAAATTGATGGGAATTGCTGGTGGTTTGGGAGCACTTGCAAAAATGCCTGCTTGCAATGTTCAGCTACTTGGAGCAAAGAAGAAAAATCTTGCTGGATTTTCTAGTGCCACATCTCAGTTTCGTGTTGGCTATCTTGAACAAGCCGAAGTATTTCAGAGCACTCCTCCAGCTCTGAGGACCCGTGCTTGCAGGGTTATAGCTGCAAAGGCAACTCTAGCAGCAAGAATTGATTCAACTAGAGGTGATCCAACTGGAAAAGCTGGCCGCAACTTGTTAGAAGAAATTCGCAAGAAGATCGAGAAGTGGCAAGAACCACCTCCTGCAAAGCTTCCAAAACCACTTCCTGTTCCAGATTCCGAGCCTAAAAAGAAGAGAGGTGGTCGCCGCCTTCGAAAAATGAAAGAAAGGTAAACTTTTCTCAACCTTTTTTTTTTGCAAATAAACATATTGAACAACCTCATGCTTATTTTTCCCTTGAACTAGTTGCTAATTTGCATTCCATGCTGAAACTTGATTCATCACATAAACAGTATGGTATCTTGTCATAATTTTGGTAACTTGGTTCTGCAGATATGCGGTGACTGATATGATGAAGCTTGCAAACCGAATGCAGTTTGGCATACCAGAGGAGAGCTCATTAGGTCAGTTGTTTTTGACAGGGCTGCTGGAATGACATTTTGTTAGTTAGTTTAATTTCACTTCACCTTAATATTGACACGATCACATCTTGTTATCACCAGGTGACGGTTTGGGGGAAGGTTATGGCATGCTTGGGCAGGCCGGAAGTGGGAAACTACGTGTCTCAGCTGCGCAAAACAAACTTGCTGCTAAAGTGGCAAAGAAGTATGCCTTCTTAATTCCCACAGTATTTTATTTTCTTCCTTTCTGTTCCTTGCCATTTGATGTTAGCATAAAGCACATGATTACTACTTGGCTCCGCAATGGAGGTTTTATGCCGTTTTACTCCCCAAAACATGGTATAACTTGTACTGTACTGTGTTCTTTCTGACTTTCTAAATTCAATACAAGCTGGTTCAAACTATTAGAGGAAAATGTGCAAACATTGGAACTTAGATCCTCAATTTTAAGCTATCAAGGCATACATCAACAAGAACTGGTTCGCGCTGCTTTCTCTGCACTGTGTTTATAACCACCTTGATTCCCACTTCCCAGAGCTTAATATGTACTCCCTCCATCCAGAAATACTTGTCCTAGAAATGAATGTATCTAGACTTATTTTAGTTATAGATACATCCATTTTATCCATTTCTAGGACAAGTATTTCCGGACGGAGGGAGTAGTGCTTTATGCTTTATACCATCCTTATATCTATGTTTCCTGCACATTCAGGTGTTTGCGAGCATTTTTTTATGTTACGGATTATTTGCACCCTGTACCAGTTGCAGTAGCCTGGCAGGCAATCGTTATGCTGCAGTATCTTCACATTGTTGTTTATATTTCGATTTGTGACCTCTTTTGTGATATCATGCACCTGCAAATCTCTCTCTGATTCCATATACTTTCTAATATCAGATTCAAGGAGAGGAGTTATGGTAGCGGCGGTGCAACATCTGGACTGACATCTAGTTTGGCCTTTACACCAGTTCAGGTGAGTTTATTTTTCCCTGGTTTGTTATGCATGATATTTGGCTGATCCAGCTGTGGAACATGGGACTATGGCTGCTACAGTGCTGCCTACTCTAGGTCGCTATGTAATTTTTATCTTGTCGTATTTGCTTAGCTGTTGCTTGCCTTGCTCATGTTTGAGGGATCGGAACAGGCAGTTCAACCATGGTTTATTTTACCCTTTTTTTTGCTGTGCCAGTAGAAAGTTCCTAGATTTTGCTTCTGTGAAGTCATCATGGACAATATAGTTTGCCATGTTGTTAGTTTTACCTATGCTACCGGAGATCATTGCATATTTGCTTTCTTGTAAACCAGGCACTGGATGGTTTCCTGTTGTTAGCCTTTTATACATTTAGCACCTTGTGTATAGATAGATAGATGGTAATCAGTAGGTTGTAGCATCTTCGACGTCATTATATATTATCTTTTCAGTCAGCTTTCGTTATTTTTAAACAGGTCAACCTAAGATCCTTGTCATCAATCACTCCTTGTTTCTAATATACCATTGCTTTCACCTGCAGGGAATAGAGCTGTCAAACCCACATGCCCACGGCAACCATCTTGGAAGTGGAACCCAGAGCACCTATTTCTCTGAGACGGGCACATTTTCTCGGATCAATAATAGGCCATGACCGAGCTTGGAATCTGAAGGCAAAAAGGTCCTGAGATTAGAAGAGGGGATCGTTCCCCGGTCCCAGCGATTCCATCTCATTCTGCACACAACACTCAAGAGTTCCTGGGATTCATGCACTTGCACAGAATCAGCTTGTATTCTCAGCTGTATCGCGGGGTTTTGTAATGTAAGTACACAAAGCGCACTACAACATCACGAGGTCTGAAGTCAGGCAGTACCCAACGTTACCTATGCTTCGAGCGTCAATAATCGTTCTAGAAAACCCGCTGGAATTGAATTGTTGAACTGTCTTGCCTGAAACATCTGCCATGCTGGATCATTCCATTACCACAATGCGAGTTGAGCTTTGAATGAGTACTCGTGGTTTCTTTTTTGATGAATATGATTGTGGTTCTGCTTCATGTGCTGCGGCGTTTGGTAATGGCAGGTCCTACTAAACATGATCATGAGATGTTACAAAGAAACAACACAACCAGTAATTGTTTTCTGAGTTTTTTTTAGTGTTTTAGGCGTATTATTATGAGTTTTCCTAGTGGAAGACGTAGCTTAGCATCTCCAGACTACTTGTTTTTCTTTTTCTTTTCTTAAGTGGAATTTCGAGGGTATTATTTAGAGGGCTCTTTCGCTGGCCATTGAGCCAGCGCGCACCCACTCCTTCCCCAGCGCCCCTTTTTAGGCTGGCCCATGCGCGGGGCAGGCTGCGCCCTGTTTTTTTCATTTCTCTTTTTGCCTTTTCTAGTCTGTAAAATAATTCGGGATTTCAAAAAAATCAATTTTCAAAAAAAGAGAATTTTGAAAAATGTTGAGGGTTTTGCTCCTCCTCAAACGGTCGTCGTTTTGAGTCTTCCTCTCCGTATCTGCCTTGCATCCACTTCGACAACTTGGCTGTTCCAGGGGTGTGTTGTGTGCATCTTCTTTGCCTTGGTCGAATTTTTTCTAGGCCTATGGGGACCGAATGGAGCGGATCGCAGAAGAGTTCGAGGAGGAAGGAGAAGATCATAGAGGATCTGATTGGTAGCCACAAATTGCGGCAGGGGGTGAGGATGATGAGTTTGTATGGGAGGAAGAGGTGGCTAAATTTCGTGTTTTGACCCTTTTTTCAAATCTATTCGAGATCTGACCCTAGTTTGGAAAAATTTCGAGATCAGACCCTTTTGCTACCGCCAGCGTCCTTGGCGGTAGGCTGTTATAAGTATTGAACATAGTGCATGCTCGTGCCTACCGCCTACCGCCAAAGTCCCTGGCGGTAGGCTGTTAGACCCTACCATCATGGACTCTAGCGATAGCAAAAGGGTTAGATCTTGAAAAAAATTCAACTTAGGATCAAATCTTGAATAGGTTTCAGAAAAGGGTTAAAACACAAAATTTTGCCGAAAGAGGTGATAAATCAAACTGCACCAACGAAGTGGGCCCCTGGCTAGGGTGCATATGTCGAAAAGCATCAGTCCGGCGACGCCATTCACACACGTGCTATCTGCATGGGACCCTCCTCTCATGATAAAGTGCAGAAGAATCAGTGGTAACACCTTGTTGGCCGTACAATTTGGCTGCCTAGCAGATTGGAGCAAGGTGATGCATGATCGAATTTGGATGAGTTATGGACGATTTATAGGCTCCGGTGCTGATTTTTCTTATATTTTGGACCCTGATAACTGTCATACCTGTGGCATATTAGAGATCTGCTCACACGCCCTGTGTGGCAGGCTATGTATGGGCGAACATTAGAACTGCTCACACGTGTGGGCACAGCTACTTCGTGTCACACGTCCAACAAGTACTACTCATCCCTACTCTGCGTGTGTGGCACCAAGAAAATATGCCCACGTCTTAGCACAGCTACGTTAGTTACCCGCGGGATGACGCTTTAGTTACCTCAGGATGGTAACTTTAGTTATTTGAGATGGCAAATGTAGTTGTAAAAGCATGACAAATCTTTTTGTTTTGGTTAACTTTTGGTTAACTATAGTTGCCATGTCTAATTTATGATAGTTCCCACGTGTAATTAAACCATAGTTGCCACATGTGTTTACCTAGTTGTCACATATGTGCAACTGCAGTTGCCATCTATCACCGTACGAGCGTCCTGTGAGCGAAGAGCAGTTCACCCACACACGCATGGACTGGTTCGCCCACACGGGGCAGCTGGCAACCGCGCGCGCGGGTCATGTAGGCGATCGCTCCAACGCCCACAACACGTTATGCCTACATGGCACTGAAAATCCAACAGATTCCTTCAAGATTCGTGCAAAACATAACAGACGGGGATCAAAACATGTGGGCGAAATGCAGATATGCCACATGTAGGCGTTATCATTCAGGTATATTTGAGTTTTTATCGGGATTGAAGTTACCCCTTCAATCAAAAAGGATAATATAATACTCCCTCTGTTTCCCTTTAGTCTGTATATAAAATTTGGTCAAAGTCAAACTTTGTCAACTTTGACTAAGTTTATACAAAAAAAATATTAAGATTCACAATATGAAATAAATATTGTTAGATGCATCATAAAATTAATTTTCATACCATATAGTTTTAGTATCGTAGATGTTGATATTTTTTCAAACAAAGTTAGTCAGAGTTTACAAAGTTTAACTTTGACCAAATTTTATATACAGACTAAAAAAACGGATGATGTATTTTGTACTATCCAAATCAATATATTTAATACGTTTGATCTAGATGCAAACAAGTCAATTGCCTTTTTTATAAGCAACTTAAAGATCATGTGAGCTTTTAGGGGAAGCAAAACTCAAAACAACACAACGATTTGAAGGACCCTAAGAAAGATCACATCAAAAATCAGTCTTGTAGTCGGCTAACATTCGATTGAGCACAATATAAAAAGGATGTATTTAGGACACATCTAGATGTGACATAGTTATGTCTCATCTAAATATGTTGATTGTTTGTTTGTCCAGAGCTCCTGTTTAGCGGGCTAAACGTCGGAAGACTCATTTAGCAGGCCGTGGCGCATTGGCAGCTCGCACGATTAGAGTTACATGGAAGCTGGCCTAGCGGCTGGATGCCGTGGCCATTTGACGACTAGCTGCTTTTTGCTCGTCGTTGACCGTGAGACCGCTAGTAGGTACAGGTTGCTTGCTAGCTTTTGTTTCCTCGCGTGCGCCTAAAAAAAGTTTAGGAATTTTAAAATCATGATCGTTGATTGTTGACTTAAAAAACACGGATTTGAAAAGAGTTCATAAAAGTTAAAATAACATGAATTACAAAAGGTTCATAAATTTTAAAAATTTGGGACTTGAAAAGGTTCAGTATTTAAAAAAAGTTCATGAAAATGAAAAAAAATCACATCTTTTGTCAATTTCAAATACAACAAATTTGGAAAAAGTTCACTACTTGGCAAAGCTTGTAATTTCAGGAAATCGTGAAAATGAAAAAAAGATCGTGAATTTTAAAAACATTCACAAAAATTTTCTAAAAAAAGTATGTAAAATAGAAAAAAGATTCATGAAATTTTGAAAAAAGTATATGAATTTGGAAAAAGTTCATGCAATTGTATAAAATGAAAAAGAATAAGCAAAAAAAGAAAGAAAAAGAAAGGGGAGAAAACATACCAAACCCGTTCCGGAAAAAACTACAAAATAACCCGGCCAAAAAATTTACTAATTTTGAGAGGACATTCCCTTCCACAAAGAAGTATCTTAATAACGTGAGGGCGTGGATGAGGAAGAAAATGGTAAAAATGACACTGATGCAGCCCTGCACTACTTTAGGGGGAGGCAGGCTATTGATTCAAGATTGTACTATTCAAAGTAGACCCAAAAGATACAAATAAAGTCCTATACATCTTCTTGTGTGATAGATGCTCAAGGAAACTATATGATTTTTAGTTGCGAGTCGATAGTTGACTTGCAACTGGGCTCTTACAAACATACGTCTCCCCTAGTTGCGAGTCGAAGGTTGACATGCAACCGGAGCCACTACAAAAAAATATGATGCGTCCCAGTTGCGAGTCGATGATTGACTTGCAATTGGGCCCCTACAAACATACATCACCCTAGTTGCGAGTCAATGATTGAGTTGCCACTGGCCCCCAACAAACATTCACCCTCCTATTTGCGAGTCGATGGTTGACATACAACTGGGGCCACTACAAAAAATTATGCCGCGCCCTAGTTGCGAGTCGATGGTTGATCTGCTACTGGGCCCCACAAACATATGCCTCTTAGTTGCGAGTCAATGGTTGACTTGCAACTGGGCCCCTACAAACATATGTCCCCCTAGTTACGAGTCGATGGTTGACATGCAACTAGAGCCACTACAAAAAAGTAGACTTGTCCTAGTTGCGAGTCGATGGCTGACTTGCAACTAGGCCCCTACAAACATACTTCCTCCCTAATTGCAAGTCGACCTTTGGCATGCAACTGGGGCTACTACAAAAAGTACGACGCATGCTAGTTGCAAGTTGATGATTGATTTGCAACTGGGCCCCTACATACATACTTCCCCCGAGTTGCGAGTCGATGGTTGACTTGCAACTAGGGGCCGTACAAAAAATATGCCCCCCTAGTTGCCAATCGATGGTTGACTTGCAACTTGTCCCTCCCCCCTACAAACATAAGTCCCCCTAGTTGCGACGATGGTTGACATACATTTGGGGCCACTACAAAAAATGTATGACACGTCCTAATTGCGAGTCGATGATTAACTTGCAACTAGGCCCCTACAAACATACGTGACCCCTAGTTGCGAGTCGATGGTTCACTTGCAATTTCCCCTACAAACATACGCCCCCTAGTTGCGAGTCGATCGTTGGCTTGCAAC